GCCCTCTAGAGGTATCCTAGGACCACACCAACACTATGCAAACATAGCCAGGGAGGTTCGGAATCCTCAGTTTGAGCTGGCGCCTAAGCGCGCATTCGTACAGCGCGCACGGCCATAGCAAAACGCGTTGTACTCAGGGTACCTTTGAGTGGTCAGCTACCACGTTGAGATTGGCCAGAGCGTGAACGACCTCACTAGAGTGTACAGTAGACAGGCGAGCGGGCGTCTCTGTCCTTTTCCACTATCTACGCGCACTCGAGTACTAACTCCCTAGAACCTTGAGACCGGCAACAGCAAAATGCAATGCAGTTGTTTTACATGAACTGTACATGGACGGATAGCAAAGCAACGGGACTGAAGTTATTGCAACCCCCCCCACACCCTCCCCAGATCCCCAGACTCACTCCATGAGGTACTAAACAAAGCTCCCCCCAAGGAGCTTTCATGATTGCTCAATGTTGATAATCGAACTAACAATAACAATGACGTGATTTTTCGACAGTGACGCTGATGGAAGCTCCGCAAGTGATGAGCCACCTCAAATTCACAAAGCTCAGCCTGCAAACCTCATTGGCCGCTTGATCTTGGCAGCAACAAATCAACGCTCCCGTGTGGACAGGAACCCCCGAACAAGAACAAAAGACCCAAAACAGTTCGAGCTCGGGGGACCAGATAACGCAGAAAAGGCACGGCTCACCCTTCGACAGGAGCCGTGGATCTCTCTGCATGGAGCAAAGCCGCTGCCCAAAACTCCTTTTTGTATCCGCCTTGATAGACTTCTAACCCTCTTTAAAGAATTTAGATTATGGCTCGTATGTCTGAACGGAGAAGGTGGGCAAGCTGGGTCCTGCATTCCATGGAGGTTGGATAGAATGCAGCGTCGAGCTCAAGGCCTGTAGCACTGCTGGAGACCCACAACCCCTCAACCGCCAACGAACCCAGCATCGCCGAATGCAGCGCCTAGGAGCTGAGGGGTGGGGAAATGGACAGACCGTGTGATGCGCTCCGCGCCGGCCGGCACCACCTCCACATCCTGTTTGACCAAAGGCCACCTACCCTGGATGAGCTGCGCTCGCAGACATTAACTGGGATGCCCCGCGTGCAACACTGCAGGAATGCGTGTAGGCGCAAACCCTGCCCGATGCTGGAGCCATGGGACAAAGAGTCCATTAGAAGAATAACCATAAGAGTACTTCTCGTAGTCGTAACGCTGATCGGGCTAGTAATACTACTTTATCAGACGTGTAACAAGGATAGTCCTGGTTTCGGCGGTCACGGCTGAGTAGTTAAAACGGTTGGAATGCAAGAGCCGCAGAGAAAGCAGAAAGCCAAGGCACTGTAGGCCACGCGGACTTTGAAAAGGAAGGCATCGATACCAACAACCAAACACATCCTTGAAGGTTCAATGTCATGGCGCTTCATTCAGGTTATAACATGCTACATGCAGCTAACGGCTGGGGGCTGCCTGCAAGTGGTTGGTGGAAATCGCTTACAAGGAAGTGACTTCGGCCCTGACTGACAAGTGTTCAGACTGAGGTTCCCACACAGCCCTCCTCAACTACCGCAAAGCTGTCTGCACACAGCGCAACTAAGCTGACAAAGGCTGTACGGTTACATCCAGAATCCAGGTTGGAATTGATGTCCCCAATCGATTCGGAAGTTATTCGCCCATTGAGGGTAGATCGCTTGAGGAATCCCAATTCAACTACAGGTCTTTGGAGGACATCATTGATCGATCGGGCCCATCCTGTGCAGGGTAGTGGGACATGAGCGCATCCTCTTGGGTCCAAGGTTCAGCTTCTTGAGAACGAAGACCAACCATAAACGAAAGCCTGTGGCGTAACCGTCCTGACATCACATGTCGCAGCCAGATTGACTTTTTTTTGGTTACCCACCATGCGTCTCTCTGACCACCACTGTTCTCCTTCATCCTATGGCACCGCTGGTATTGCTCCAAATGTAGCAGCTGGTTGTATTTGCTGTATTTTGCCCATAAGGTACCCTCTACCTGCGGCAACTGCTGCTGCTGGTGCTACTACTACTACTCCTGCTGCTGCTGCTACTACTACTACTACTACTACGACTACTACTACTACTACTACCACTACTACTACTACTACGACGACGACGATGACGACTACTACCACGACTGCTTCTACTACTGCCACCACTATTACTGTTACGGCTGCCACTGCTTCTACTAGGATGGTGTTTGTAATTACAGTGTCTTTGCCTTTTTTGCAAGCAGATCAGCATTTGCTCTAGCTACACTATCCTTGTGCCGCAACAAATTTTGGCCCTTGGTGTGAACCCGTGCTCTAGCATGAATGGCATCTCCTATCTGCACGCAAAATGAATGAATGCATGCAATGAAGTTGTGGGACGTGTTCTGGCTCTCAGTCGCGTCTGCTGGCAGACAAGTGGCAAGTTCAGCACGCGAACCAGCATATGCTGCAAAGGAATACAAATCACAAAGCACCTGGCAACGTCAAATGCTGAGGTCTTTCTGCGCTGCTGACTTTGTCTCGGGCCTTGAGTTGGATTGTCCTACAGTTCATTGCATGTTCCTGCGAAAACAAGTGCTTCAGTTCCACAGACCACAGATGCGCACCCTTCCCAGAATTTAATTCAATCTAGCTCTACAACAGTTTCAGCTTCTCAAGGCATCTGTGACTACACTGCCATACCATCATGTGGAAAATCGCTTGCGCACAGTTCTGGACATGCATGACGCAACGGATGCTAGCATGATTTCATTTTCATATATCCTAGTATCATTGACCATGTTCGTGCAGATGCAAAGTGTGAGCAGACTTTCTACAGCATGAACCCATGATGGAGACTACCTCCGTCTGGCGAAGGTGGGTGGAAACCGCACTCACCCGCACTCACGACACTTTTCTGAGCAGCTGCAACCCATGCACTGCATTGTCCATGATGACATGCGACAGGCCAATATACTGCCAGTGAGCCTTCCTGCTGTGTGTCAAGCAACTTGCAACACTACGAAAAAACATAGCGCTGATAGTGGCGCATTTGGAGCTAGCAACCATCCAGACTGCCTACGCGAACCATCAAATGCAAGTCTATGACTCTTGCAGTGTTGGGTTGAGCGAAGGCGTGTACATCTCGTATGCGTATGTGAGAAACAGTTGTGCCGTTTACACACCCCAAGTGCCAGAAGCTCCTTATACTACGCCCTCCCGGCGAGACATATCTGGGGTCCCCAGCCACAGAAGGAGTCGCGAAGTGCAACAGCCGCATAGCACTGAAAGAAGACAGCTCTGGGAATACCTTGTCATGCCGAAACAGTGTGACCAGGCTGAGGGGTTCAAAATTAAGTTCCCTAACATACAGCCTAAGGCCGAAGTGTTCAAAGCCTTCAAATCTGACCAGGAGAAGCCTTGACGGCTGAAGTGGTTAGTAATGACGCGATCGGAAATCAGGACACCAATCCCAGTAAGGTCTGGGACTTGGCCAACTTCCCCAACAGAATCTACATGACTTCAGTTCCGCAGCTTTGCACACCACCACCACCACCACCACAGCCGCCACCACCACCGCCACCGCCACCGCCACCACCGCCACCACCGCTACCACCGCTACCACCGCCACCACCGCCACCACGGCCACGGCCACGGCCACCACCACGGCCACCACCACGGCCACCACCACGGCCACCACCACCACCACCACCACCACCACCAGCACCACCACCAGCACCACCACCAGCACCAGCACCAGCACCACCACGACCACCACCACCACCACCACCACGACCACCACGACCACGACCACGACCACGACCTCGATACAGTGAGGACGCCACGCTCACTATGCTTATGAATCTACTGCTGCTGGCATTTCAGACGCGTTCATACAACTTCAAGTACATGGGCTCGATGTCCTGGCCTCCCACCAAAAGATGCAGGCTTTGGTCCAGCGAACACGCTCCAGCTTCTCTACAAAGCTCGCCACAAAGCAATTCACCGCCTGGCTGTTCGTAGCGGAACATGTCAGAGCTTAGAGGTAACGTTCTATGTCAATCTTTTATCACCTTTGCTTGCTCTCTCTTGATTCTTGCAAAGTGAAGCACTTCCGGTTTTGTGAACTAAGGTGACCTTCCAAACTGCAGGATGTAATCATGGCTACTCTTTGCACAGTCACTCTTCAATAGCAGCTGCATGCAGCCGCAGCAAAACATCAAATGGCCCCTGACAAGGAACTAGATTGTAAACTCTGAAGTCGGGACCTTGACAATCAACAGGGCCAGCAAGAAGAGCTCAATGGCGCAGATGAGTGCAATCCGCGGGCTGTGCATCCGACTTCCGCATCCTGCCAGCAAGCAAGCAAGCAAGCAAGCAAGCTTTAGAGCTGTGTGAGAAAAGAAAAAAGAAAGGAAAAGAGAGAGAGAGAGGGGAGTTTGTACTTGTCTGTTGGTAATGTGGAAAGAGAGAGAGAGAGAGAGAGAGACATGAGCTGGCAAGGCGGAGCTTTGCCTCAGCCGTTTTCTTGATCCTTTTTTGACTCTTTCTTTCTCGTTTTATTCTTCGTGGAACAGGTTCCGGCTCAAGGGCCTTCCAGCGGCGGAACGGTTTCCAACAGACTCTTTGGAGATGCAAAACATGTTTGGGGAAATTTCAGGTCTGCTTGAAGGGGCCTACGTCGCTTTTGTGGGCCTGGAGCGAACAAGGTTCGCATCTGGTTTGCCTTGGATCTGATACGAGAGTCATCGCACGCCATGAATTTTTACAAGGTGTGTGGACATTGTATAACTACGTGGTCAAGGGCCAGGCGGATAGGCTTTTCACTCGGGCTTCTGCACCAACCTCAAGAGCATGCCCGGAGCCTTTGCTGGATAGAGGTACTTTGCGTACAGCGGTTGAGCTCTGCAGCGGCATTGGCGGAATCTCGGTTGGAATAGCGAGACCCCAGGATGGAACACTAAGCTTTTTGTGGATTCCAGCAGCTTGGCATGTCAGGCAGTGGCAAGTAATCAAGGTCAGGTTCTCTGTGGCCAGAAAGGGGAATCAAGTGCTCTAGGTGTCCGCTAGACAGAGTGATGGAAGGATCTAGCAGAGCATATCATCGATGGGGCGGTCGTACAGCTTCACAGATTGTCCGATGAGTTTGTCCATGGTGTCGTCGGTATACTCAGGGAGCTCTGGTGTGCGCACAGGCCCAAAAGCAACCCCAGGCAGCAATCCAAGGGCAAAGGCCAGTCATCCTTGTGGGGTTTCCATGCCAACCCTATTCTGTGTTGGGGTCTGGCAAAGGGCTCAGCGTGGTAAGACCTTGACAGCCGTACTACGTATCACCTGGCTCGGTAGAGCCAGCGCGGTTGTGCTTGAGTGTGTTTCAGAAGTTGCACAATACATTGACACAATGGCGTTGCTGCAACGCTTTGCAAGAATTATGGCCTTTCAACTTCATGCAATGATCTTGGAAGTAGCAGATCAGTGGCCATCGCGCCGCCGTCGTTGGTGGTGTGTTATGTTGCCGCAGGGACAGCCTTTTGTGTTGTGCAACTGGGAAAAGGACGGACGCTTCAGTTGCCTCGCCGATGTGCTCTCACAGTGGCCTGTCCTTGGATCAAGAGCGTGATCTGCAGTGAAGAGAAGGTGAAATACAGTGCCGGGTATACGGATCTGATCCCCGAAGATTGGATCAGCAAGGACTCATGCCAACGGCCTTGCACAGCTGGGGCTGCGCGTTAAGGGCGTGGAAAGAGGTTGCGTTTCTCAACACTTTACCTCTTGACGTGGTCCTGCCGCAGCCGCCCAGAGCGGCGCTTTGTTTGGTCGGCCAGTTGGCAGCTCCAAGTGATTTGGATCCTCGCTCAACTTGAGGGATGGGTACAGTTGAGGTATGATGAGGTCGTAACCACTGTCCCGCTGTTTGCCTTGAACAGCTTAAGGGTGACCTGCTGTCTTCGAAGTGGAGACCCCAGGAGCTCGCAGGCATGACTTGCATTGGCAGAACATCCGCTACCTCTCCCTTTGAAGCCTCAAGTCCCGAACCCTTGCAGAGCACAGCCACTCCCAGCAGGCCTGGCGACAAGCCTGTATTGCTGACACGGCTGAGCTTTCCCTACTCCTAGGCGTCCCTAGTCCCAAACCCTGTGTCAAAACGTCCAGATCAGCCGGAAACTCCGCACATTCACGGGTACCAGCAGCACGCACAGTTGCCTCCTCTCCCCTGGGAGTTTTCAGACCGCTCAATGCTGCAACCAGCATGTGCTGCTCACCATGCGCCTGAGCCTTCCCCAACCCTAGGGGTCCCTAGTCCTGAGCCCTGTGTGAGGGCGTTGGTGCCAGACCGAGCACTGGCCCATGAGGTTGCGGGAGACTCGCAGCCCGACACCATGGAGCAGCAGGACATTGCGAAAGGTTACCTTGCAAACCAAAGAGGGTAGTTAAAAGGCTCGCCTCTCTGCCACTACCGCAGTCGCAGAGCTTTGTCAAGCTGAAAGCCCTGTCTGCAGGTGTTGGTGCTCACGGCACAGGGGCTTTGGGTTTGTTCGGGGCGAGTAAGGGACACTGCCCCTGGGCGAAAGCATGCCGGATAATCTCGTCTGGGTGGCTTTGCGCAAGCTGGTTCTGCTTGTCGAGCAAGTAAATACTCGGGTGGTCCCGCCTTCTGTTGCTGCTCTGCCCTTGGAGTGTCAAGCCTCCAGCTTGCATCATTGCACAAACCCTGTGGGCTCTTCCAAGCCTGGCGCACGCCTGCGTATCGTCTTTGCACATGAGGGCCACTGGTCTCTGTTAGTTCATGAGGTCCTGCCCACAAACCAGGTTCAAGCTCGGCTTTTTGACGGAATTCCTGGCCGCAACTCCCATGCAGCCGAGAAGGTGGCATGGCGGATTTGCCAGCTATGGGGAAAGCTAGGAGGTTTGTTGGTTCTCGCAGAGTCTGTGGTGCCATCGCTCTGCTGCATGCAGGACGATACCTTCTTGGTTGCCGCGTCTCGACCTTGCAAGTGATCTCAGAACTTGAGTCCACAGCCTACTCTATCGAACTCCTTCCCAGGTCATGGGCCAGAGGTGGTCTGTCATCAGAGCAAGAGAGTGCTTTCAAGGCCATTTTGATTGAGCGCGGGGTGAACCCACAACAAGTGCAGGAGCGAATAAAGGCGGCCGTTAGCAAGGTAGGCGCTGCTCCAATCGCCAAGGCACCGGCACACCGCAATCAGTGGCCGGCATTGAAGGTTGCTGCAGCCCAACTCGGTACCGCCTTCAAGTATGTACTGGCAGAGGAACTACAGGCGTAAATCGAGCAAAGAGCCAGGCAACGCTTTGGCCCCACACGTAAGGCTGGCAAGACCAAAAAAGCAGACCAAACCACCCAAGAAACAAACCGCTGCCCTGCATGACGGTCACATTCACTTGCACATGACACAATTTTGCTTTGTGGCAGTTGGTGGTGAACCGCTGAGCCAGCTTGCTTTTCACGAGGTGCAAGCCCAAGGTACAACCATTGCGCAAATGCAGCCATTCTTGGCCAACTTCCCACTCATAAACATAGACGCTCTTGCTCTTGTATCCGCAGCCACCATACCGGATGAGGCACTGGCCGGCTTGCCTGCTACCAACATTCGGTACCCCGCCTTGTATGCCCCGACTGGGGAGCCCATCCTACTCCGAGGCACTCTGCCGCAGCTTGGTCAGGAGCAAGTTGAACTGGCCAGACAGGCAGGACATCGCTGAGCCAGAGCCACTGCAAACCATTGCTTTCCGCATCTCCGCATACAGAGATGAAGCAGGCTTTGATTGGAGTGAATTTGCTGAGTCTTTGTCGAACGAAGTACGCCCGACACTGCGAACGTCGCACCTTTTTCACCTCACAGCTGCAAGACGCCTTTGTGCCTGAGTGGCCATGGAAAATCCAGGTGCCTCAAACTTCTTTGCGTTAGACACACACACAGAGTCCCGCTACGAAGTTGCGCAGCATGACTGTCACTTCACGTATCACAGCACACACTCACACGTTTACATTGGTTCAAAATCATCTCACCTTATCCCAAGGTAAGATGACCTTCTGTAAAAGTGGAGTCATGTGGTGGTTTGTATGGGCATGGTCATAGGATCAGCCAGCTGGGCATGAGATGACACCCATGCTATGGGAAAACGACCTCCTCGACGCTCAGCCCGCGAAGTTCTTGCCGAAGAGCAGCGAGATCTATCGCCAACCTGCGATCTGTCGGTGCACGAGGAACTCCAGTACGATGGAGGTGTTCAGTGAGCGACCGGCAGTCGGAGAGGCAAAGGAGACGACAAGTGTTCCGTGCCTCCTCAAGCTTCAGTAGCTTGCCTGTCAAGAGGTTGGCCAGCAGAACACTGGGCATTCTCCAGGGCTTCCGAACGTGCTCCGGCGCACTCGCTGGCAGGCTTGGCTCTGCCACTCCAACATGCTCAGTCTGGGGGTGCAAGCCTGGCACTCCGCCTTGAGGTTGATACAAATATAATTCCGTTGTACCTCAAGGCCGTTTAAAAACCCGCCTGTACGTCACCTGTCGAGGCCTGCCAGCGCGGCGATGTTCGCAAGGAGCGCCATCAGCGGGGGGTGGTCGGGGAGTCGGAGTGCTTCTTGATCTCCTCGACATCTGGGTCGACGTGTCCGCCCACCACCAGACGTGCTTTCGCACGCCACGGCAAGGAGCTGTCCAAGCGACGACGGCTGAGGTTTGTCTCGATAGGCATAGCGACTTGGGAGGATCCTCCGCTTGCCCCCTGACCCTCACGGCACGGCTGGCTTCCAAATCGAGCACCTCGATGGCCTGGCCGGAGAGGTGCTCTTTACTTTCTGCCTGGTAACATTCCTCATGCTTTTCAGGAGGTATCAGCCTCCAGGGAATTTCTTTTTCGAGTTGCTCGCGTGCATGATCTTTTCCTTGCAAAAACACGCTGGAAGATTGCTTTCCAGAGGGCTCCTTGGCATTCGGTGTACCCTACCTGCCAATGAGGCTGGCCTGCCGAGCTCTGAGCCCTGAACCCCATCCAATCACCAAGCCGCGCCAGAGAGGCTTTTGGAGGCCCGTTTCGAAGTCCACGGCGATGACGCTAGGAACGCCGAGGGTGTAGAACCAGCCTTCGCGCAGGGCCTGCTCCAACGATGGCGTGTCCTTCTTCCGGAGGGGAATGAGCCTGAAGGTTGGTCCACCACGGAAAGCAGCTCATGCTTGATGTTGTTAATGTCGTGGACGTTGAAGAGGTCTATGCCAAGAAGTTAATTGAACCTCAGAGGTATGCCAGCCTTGGCGGGTTTGGGGTATCCAGGTCGTGGCATCGCAAACATGTTTTGCGTCGGAATCCCTTTGCCACCTTCACCACATCGCA